TCCATAGAAATGAAATGTTTAACTATTCAAACACATCTAGAATTTTCCAGTCAATTAGTTACATACTGAAATTTCTGCATTATTCATTGCAATTTTTTCAAAAGTGTCTCACTCCTTAAAGACTTCTATTAATTATCTGAAACTAGTGTACATGATTTCCCATTGTATTTCAGTTAACACTAGCTTATGACAAAAATAGCATTTGAATGTTTGTAAATTGAGTTTATTAGCAATAAGACTGACAGAAATTGAAAGATGGTAAGAACTGCATTTAGCCAGTTATTTGAAGAAATCTTTTTTATTTTAAGCTAATTAAAATACATGTTGTGCTTCTGAAAACAATTAAACAAAATATATTTAGTTATTTTTAAATTATTTATCCATGTTATGAATTACATTGACAGCGAATGATGAAGCTTTCAACCCGAACGCATTTTAGGCAATTATGTTTTAGGTTCGCGGTAGCTATATAGAAATATTGTTGAGGTATGATAAATACTATTGTGTGTCTTAAATATTTTGAAGTATCGATAGTAGGTAGTGTTATATGTAAACTAGTAACACCAACAGCTAACCAGTATGTTTTCTACTGGTCACTGCTTTACCACAGATGAAGATAGAGAAAACAGCAAAGTCACTATAATGTATCGTATATTGAGATTGGAATAGTGTGGTTAGACATCTGTTTGCTAATTTCAGTATAAGAATGTAGTATTTTGGACTAAATTTCGGGATTCATTTTAATCTTACGAGTAATGCACATTGGGATCATGACTTTGAAATGTATATCTGTTAATGTAAAATGTTCGGTTTTCCCAATGTACTACGGGAAAGCTAATAACTATGTCGTGTTTTCAATTGGTATAATATTTCTCCTAACTACACGTTTGGAGTTCAATGGAATTCGTCACAATTCTGCTAATTAAGTTACAACCAGTTTGAGTATGATAACATGTAATTCTACTGTGAAGACGAGTATAGCAAAAAAGTCGCATATCCTCTTCAAAAATAAACTTCATAACGCAAGGACAATAACACAAAAACGACGGGTCAGTATCGGTAATATCAGAACTAGAACAGTTATTCATCCCAAAAAGTATTCAACAGAATCGTAGGAGGTAAATTTATGTTTAAAGTTGAAAACGCAAGGTGATTTTTATTTTGGTACGTACTGCATTGATAAAAATATATTTGAATACTCCACTGAAGCTTAAGTTGCCGTATCCTCACTGGTGATTTAAATCTAGATTTAAATGTTCTACCGACACGCGTTTCATGTGAAGTTTTGAGGAAGGAAGAATTTTGACTGTTAATGTTGGTTGATGTTTCGATTATCAAGGGCAAAGTAGCATTTATTATCCGTAAAAACAGTCACAAACCTAAGTACGTTGTGTGTAAAACAAGACATAAACTCATGCATCATTTTCGTCTACTGAAACCGTCAATATACGCTGTTACTCCAAGCATCAATCAGCCACTTGATATAACAACCGCTTGTACCTTATGGTTTGAGATAAGGGAAACATGAATCCTAATATTATTACAGGGAATGCTATGAACTAAACATATTTTAATCTTGGTATATATATATATATATATATATATATATATATATATATATAACTTCATAGACGTCTATGTCTCATGTTAAAACAAAAATGATTTAGGGTGCAACTTAAATACGGATTCTAAATTTTATTCAGGATTAGTCTATGAGTATTCGAACATAAATGATGACATTTAACGCCCAGATAAAGTTATGAAACTAACACCCATTTTAAAGAAAAAATAAATGCTCAAAATCGGGTTTATACATAGAAAAAAACATAAATAATTTTAAGATCTCCATTTATAACTATAATACTGTTTCAGAAACTGTAGTGGGAGTTTTAACATGGATATCATACTGAAGTGATTATACTCTATTTCCCGAGATACCTTATTTGTGATTTGTTTTGAATGGTCCTTTTTTTACCTTATCCATTTTTATGGGAATATAAACCATATATTCCTATGCAATTCGAATTCACATTATATTAACAACTTGATAATATACTTCATACATTCAAGCATTAAAAAGTGGGCGTATGTAGTCAGAATTATTGAAATGTTCGGATGTAAGTTAGGTGTTTTTTTTAAAAATTTATTGTCTTCAACGGAAAAAAACATGAAAATGCTTATAACTCAAAACAATATTCTGGTCTTCCATATTATTGTTTTAAATTGATTGCACGTATTCAACTTTATTTTTGAGTTAATCAGTTGTAACCATTACAATAACTCCTTAACAAATAAATTTATTTTGAACCATCAGCCTCAAAGGATAAAGAGATTGATAAGTTTTACATGATAGAAGCATTATCAATTTTAATGTTTCAAACCTTAATTTTGTTCGCTAACGTAACATATACAAGCTCTTACCTTACGAATTTTTTACAAGGTTAATTTTTCACACTCAGTAAACTAGTTGCTCATACTTTATTCTGATCTGTAAAATGTTTAATTACAAGTATTGGATCAGGGAGATTGTTCAACTTTCACAATTTCATATTCAAAATTATTATGCCTTCGTTAATGGGCACTGAGGAGAGATTCCATAACAGACAATTATTTATCAATGTGTTTATTTTTCTTCTTAACCTATCGATTGTTACGCAAATATCTTTTGATGCTTAAAATTTTCAAACACTATATTGTAAAGAAATTATGGTAGTTATTAAGAGTTTATACAAACAGATAAACAAATAAGTAGCTAATAGCATGTAGATATTAAGACATTAGTCAAATGGTAACTCTAAATCTACCTATCTATGAATATTTACTAAAAAAATCAGGGTAAACTCTAATTTATAATATTTTAAATGAAATCAAGCGTTTAAACTTATTTAGCCATCTGTTGTAAGTGAGAGTCAGTTGATTTCGTTCAGACTAATGATTCTCTGATTTGACATTCGAACAAAGAATGGTAACATCTGATAAGTTATGATTTTGAACTATACATTCAGTGAATGAATAGTTTATTAGGCTTGATCCAGTCATTGATGACGAAGTAAATTTCTGTCCATATGTTGCTTATTTGAGCCTTGCATTTATAACTATCCACTTAATAAATGAAGAACGTAATAATAATCATTTTATGAAGTATATAGTACAGCAGATATTTTATATAAAACATCTTGAGTTCCAAGTTTCTGCAAAACTCATACGTGTGAAACAAGTTTCTGTTTTATAAACTGATAAAACTTTATATTTACGTATAAATAGACGCTTAAATTTGTTTTCCTTTACCTGGTCAACACGTAGCAAGTGATTTATTATAGTCGGTACTTGCAGTTCAACACTTTTTCACCATTCATAAGTTATATTTACAGGTTTTTATTTCTATCATTGAACGGTGTTTTAAAATCCATATCATAAGAGACTTCATGTCATCAGATATTTGAACCTTATTAAAATCTCAGGTTATTTAAATAATATGAATTTGTACTGGCAAACTGAGAATGGAATGACTGAGTAGTGTGCTTAAACATGATTAAATATGTTTTATTGATTCGACAGTTAGCTAGAATTTTAAACTGTGTAAAGATTGTTGGTATGGTTAAATATGTTATAAAAGCAGGTGATATGGTTGACTCGAGAAATGCTTTTAAGTCTTTATGTAGAAACCGTTATGGGTGAGTATTCGGATTTTCCAACATTACAGTCACATTATTCTGTGATGAGACTATCAATATTCACAACTCAAAACAAAAATAATTATAAATATTAGAATATATAAATTCAAATTTTATTACCATATATTGTGATGAGCTAGCGGATTACAACGTCTCTATTCCACACCACTTATATACACGCATCTTAGTGAGTCATAATGTTCATAACTATATGAACTTAAATTAAGGTGTAGCATAGATGTTGCTAACATGTACATATCAATTTCCAATATAATTATTTACAAACTGGGATTATTTTCAACTTAGAAGTATGATTTTCTGACAGCTATCAAAATCTTTCTTAAACTATTAATTAATTTACTTATAGAAAAGGGTTTACCTTGCATTCATGAACTGTGATAATGTTAAATAAAGTATGATAAAGCAAAATAGTATTTGTTTAATTATTTTCTTACGGAACCCAGCCCTCAATTGACATATCATATTGTTTCTTTTTTTCATCTTTACACTGTTTTATGACATTGTGATTAAAATGAATTACCTCAAGTACTAGGTCATCATGTAGCATTCACTTGGTTACAAAGGTATATAAAGAAAATGAGTAGACTTTGGAATCATTCACACCTTGAATTAAGAATGGATTTTTTCAATCTTGTACATATATTTCTTTTTCTTCTTTATGTATCTAAGAAATGTACATCTGTTTGTAAATTACCAAATGATTATCAATATGTAAAATATCATTTGTGATAACTTCTCTTAACACTTTCTAGTATCATTCGAACGTTCACGAGAGTATAAATAAAGGACGTTTTTTCATAAAACGACTGAAAGTGATACCACACTACACAGAAGCAATTCAACGACATATTGATTTCCAATTAATACGAGTAAGTTAATAAACTGTTTCTTATCAATATTATTATTTGTTTTTGAAGAATTTGTAGATATAGTAAGACTCATAGATAGATTATAAGAAATAAGTTTATTCTATCTAACAACTGTAGGCCTCAGTATATCCAGAGGAAAAAGCGAGATCCTCAGATAAAACACGGAGAGCATCAACCCAATCACACCTGATGGAGAGACTCTGGAACATGTGGAATCTTTCACGTACTTGGAAAGCATCATCGACGAACAAAGAGAATCTGATGCAGACGTAAAGGCAAGGATTGGCAAAGCAAGGAAAGCATTCCTACAAATGAAGAACATATGGAACTCAAAACGATTGTCAACAAATATCAAAGTCAGAATCTTCAAGACAGTTATTCTTACTGTACGGAGCTGAAACGTGGAGAACTACTACAACCATCATCAAGAGAGGACAAGTATTTATGAACAGTTGTCTACACAAGATACTCAATTTTCATTGGCCAGATACCAACAGCAACAGCCTACTATGTGAGAGGAGAAGCCAGCTTCCAGCTAAGGAGGAAATTAGGAAAAGATAATGGAAGTGGATAAGACATGCATCACGGAAATAATCAAACTGCATCACAAGGTAAGCCACAACTTGGAATCCTAAAGGGAAGCGGAGGAGAGGAAGTCCAAAGAACACACTACGTCGGGAAACGAAAGCAGAAATGAAAAGGATGAATAGCAAGTGGAAACACCTAAAAAAGGTTGTCCGAACCAGGGTTGGATGGAGAATGTAAGTGGCCTCGAGGGGTAACTGGTTTATGTAAGTAAGTATCTAACATTTTTATTCTTGGTCTCGTTCAAACTATTTTTTTCTAATTTCTTAATTATTATAGACGAAAATTATTGAACCTGCTATAAAAATGTGGGAGGCGTTATTAAAAGTAAAAATGAAATCTAAAAATAAAATTTATTTATTCAGGTAAATTAAATGTTGTTTCCACCATTCATTACTTCTTCGTATTAATTGATTAAACTTTTATTTTATGATATTTTCGATCTAAATTGAGAAACATTTTAATCTGAACAAATAAAACAAACAAGCATAAAGCTCTGAAGATGAAAAACAATTATGAATAATTTTCATTTCTTTAAGTATTCAGTAGAAAGATAGATTTATATAAAGTTTTAGATCTTAAATTTGACAAAAATTCCAAAGTATTTTACAGAATGTGTTATATCCAGAAGAGAATTATGAATGATAACTTCTGAGAACTATTTATGGACCAATATCATGCGTATATTTCCTATTGTATAATTGTTAAGTAACTCAACTATTAATATTCATGCCCCCCTTATTATGAGCTTTATTTTGACCCATAGAATTACTACTGTATGATTTACCATACCTGAGTTATACCCAGTTTACTAATTACTGTTCCACCTATTCACAGCCACGTTTAGCTAGATATTGTACAAATGTTATTTTCTATTTTATGGTACGATGTGATCTGTTTTTTGGTACATAAAACCAGTGTGTTTGAAAATAATAATTCATACCGCAGAGGCTGTTATTGGTGTTCTGGGCTAGACAGAAAGCAGGACCGATAAGTACTCTAGACTGCTCGCATGAGTTTCGTATATCATTGGTCCGATCGATAAACTCACTGTATTTTAATTGGCGGGTACAAGATAATAACAATTGTCGATACAAGGTCGAATATTGAAAACTTAAATCTAGCAGATTATGACAAGAAACATATTACGAAGTAAACTAATTGTGAAATGGACTGATATAAGATAACATTATTAATAACAAATGATCTTACATATTTATAGTTATCCTATGCGAGATCTTTAATGATCTAATGACTTATTACTAATTACAAACATCATGAAAGTTAAACTAAGCTATGTGTTGTATTTCAATTATACAAGATTAGATGTAAACAATACTGTTTCAAATGTCATGCTAAAATGCTCATATATAAATGTAACTGATTTTCAAAAACGTGGTGAACGTTTATTTACATAAACCGGAATTACGAAAACACCAATATGTTTGAAATTATTGGTAGTGTAAGACCAAAAATCGGCTTACTTTTACTTTTTGTTATGAAAAGAGGAAAATGCAGCACAAAAAAATAATGTATTTGATTTAAAACTTTCAGTGTATAATATATATACGCGAAATCTGTTTTCCTTTACAATGAACATATTGTGTTATCTGTAATAATTTAAACATCAACAAGAAGTGCCATAGTGTTATTGATACTTTCCAAATCGATTGATGTTAGACCACCATTGAAAACCTGATAGCACTGGATGGCCGTTTCGATGCCAGTTTAGTGGTCTAAAAGTTAAGCGTGAGATGGAAAGTCTTGAGTTTGAATCCCGCGTGCGTGATAGTGGATGCGCACCATTGTGTGTCCCATACTAGGATGGAACGGCCGTTCAGTGCTTCCAAGTTTTCAATAATAGTCTAACATCAATGGATTCATGATTTCTATTAAAAACTTAACAATCTCCATAACCTAACACTGATAAATTTCTAAATCAACGTAATTTATTGTTTATTATATTGTATTTGTTTTTTTTAAAGAAGTTGCATAAATCATTCTAAAGACTCAAAGATACTTTCCAATGGTACGCGATATCGTTACTGTAGAGAGGGATGTAAACCGGTGTCAGAATGTCATCATGGAGTTATTCCAGAAAAGTACTTAGATGTAAGTGTATTGCATTCACTGATACAACCACTATTTGAGCTAATAAAAATTGAAAACATTTTAAGCTTTTTAAAAATTACCTATCCGTTTTCCTATTTTATTCTAAGGAATATTGAGCGATTATTTTTGTTCATTGTAAAATTTACGGAGAATTCACTTCATTTAGATTAGATTTAATACTTCAAATTTATAAAGATAGGAAATTCCGAACATTGAATGCATTAGGATAAACTTTACTATTTGCGATTTCACTCAGTGAAGATGCTACTGAGTAGAAAGAACATTTAGTAAAATGATTCGCTAACATCAGCACAAAACAGTCATTGTTCATATGGAAGTCGAATGGCATTTCTAAGCGAAACAAATCTTAGTGGAATAAAGACAAAACAGAACAACAAACTTAACTTATTGCTTACCATATAGACAATCTCAGTAGTATTTATTATCTATAATATAACAATCGTTAATAAAGAGTTTCTCAACTATTCAACGGAACAAACTATTTCCTTTCTAGTTTAAAGGTGGTTTTTCTGAATACTCAACAAATTGTCAATGTAGCTACTTAACAATCAAATCTGAAACCTAATAATTTAATATTTATTTCATTGATACACATTTAAACCATCAATCATATTAAAAATGTACAATTGACATTAAGGTTTATTCACGAGGACAATTAAATTTTAAATAATTGAAATGGTTTGAGAAAATACAGTTGTTGTCCACTCCAAGTCTCATTACTTGAAACTTCAATTAATTATTCACTATAGAGGAAGAAGCAATAAAAGCGCTTTAAGAATTCACTTAGTATTGTTTGTTTGAATCTTCCCATTGATGCTTAGGACTGCAACTGATCAGTCTCTTATTGGCCATATGTGCATAATGTGCGTATTGCCTCGATATAGCCTAAATTCACAACATTGTAAGCTAAGATGGATAGTGACTAGCAGTGGAATCTTTGTTTTTTTATAACGTTAAACTATTAAAATATATAGATCAATTAGACAAGTGAGATTTATATTTTTCTCATTTTTATCACACTACTCATTAAATTATTTGTACTTTACTATTTATAACCACTATTATTTATAATTATTTACAACTAGTACTGCTATACACTTGAAAATGAACAACCCAAAATAAGTGAACATCGTGGACAAGGGATGAAGTTTAATCATTTATTATATATTATTGATTCCCAGACAATTTCCCTTTGCCGAAGTGGGAATACTGTAGGTTATGCACAGTTTTGCAGAATGGATGGACTAACAGACAGGTTAGTTTATTTAAGATAAACACACTTGGAAGACTCATATTTGTCTCTATTTTTCCTCTTTATTAACTAGTAGGAACAAAATTGATTGTTGTTCATTTATTACTCACTTCTCGAACCAATGAACATTTATTCAAAATACATTTACGGTTAATGTCCTAAAAACAATGTGATGTTTGTGGAATAAGACTAAGTTCATGATTTTGTCTAATCATTCTGTCATAGGACGAATGTTATCTAGATTAAGATTTTATATTTCAAGCATTTAAATGTAGTCTCCAGTCAGAAATCATCTAACCCGAAAACTCCATAAGATTAAGTATACCCATAAATTTAGTTTCTTCTTAGTTGAATCTTCCTAAAGTTATCTATAACTAGTCACTAAACTTCCAGGTTGAAAGTAATTGTTGATAGTAATGATGATTTTTAGACGTTTTTTTCTGCAAAACACATCGGATAGGATGGTAAAGTTTGCACCGGTGCACCTTCACTCACCCACTATACTCCTTTAAATGCTGACTTCAGTATCAACTCTTCCTTTTCATTCTTTATTTTTTATTTCTCACACTTAGATTTTCATCGCGTTTGATGTAACAATCCTTTGGATTTGGTTGATTACTTGAATATATATATATAGTTTACGGTTTTAAACAGTTTGGTATTAATTTTATTTATTTCAATTTTTAGGCCAATAGCTGGCTATACAAATCTTTGCCCGAATAACATAGAAGTTGATTATGAAAGTATTAGAATGGCTACTTTAACTATGGCACATGAATTGGGCCACGTTTTGGTAATCTGCATTGATGTATTTTTATAATATGATTAAATATAATTTTCTAAATTGATAATATATAATTGTGAATTCAGTCACCATTTTAACTAAACCTATATCAATGATCAAATACATAACTAACAATTAATGACTACCTTCACAAATATTTCAAGTGAAGCCTTTACATTTATTCATTATGCCAGCGTAGAATTTAAGGAAATTAAGCCGTGAATTTTGAATTATGATAACGAAATGTTATCCTACTTGTGAAAAGATATATTTAAATTGAATGAGTTTCAGAGATTTATCACAAAGTTATAACCAAATGATCGTTTCTTAGGATGTCGGTACAAAAAACGTAATATGCTTATAATGATACATTAAATTGATTTTCATTTAACTAGCTAGTCTGACATTTAATGATAGGCTTTTAACATGAGAACTCACTTTTTTCTAGTATTTTCTTTGTTTTACTAATCCAGCCAGTTTTTCATTCATATTTCAAAAAGGGTTTCAACTCGGAAGCTTTCAGATATATGCGAGACGAGCTTGGGAAACCAAGAACTATACGTGAACGTGTTACTAATGAGCCTATTTTAACTGATCCACTGGGATACAGAATTCCAGAGTGAGAAATAGTTGTTTTATGTAAAACATGGGTTATTAAAACTTCATTATTGTGTTTAGTTTAAAATGATGATAAATTTAACAGAATGTCTAATTTTAAAGTACCGTACATCTAAATATCATCCGATTCAGTAAGCTTGGCTTTTTAACAGATTGAATTTGAAATTTTGTGTAGATGTTTAGAAATTTTTATATTGCCAATGATCTTCCACAATAAACACAGCGAATAAAAATAATATTCTATTGTACAATGAATCCTGTAAAGTACAGTTAATTTCTCGGCTAAAAGACACTGCTACTTAAATGAACGGTCACACTAACACAAGTTATAACTAAGAACAGAAAATTAATATTGAACTATCCTAGGCTCATACTTTGTTCTGTTAACTACATAAAATAAAAAGGATTTTTTTACAGCTATTATCATCCATAGGGTTAGTAAGTTTGGTTATATATATATATATACATCCCCGATAAACCAAACGTTAAAATTATTATCTAGACATATCCTGGGTAAATTAAATTAAAGCCATATTACTTTAAAGTAAGGCTTATTACTTATTCAAACATTCAGACAATGCAGTAGTTAGGATCGCAATAGTATAGACGTTTTACTGAGTCTAAATATGCTTTTTATTTCATTCTCAAAGGTAGAAAATTACTGTGACATCATACGGTCTTGATGAGCTGTATGATCTTGAAAAGTGTTTAGAGGCTATAATAATAGATCCAAATGACATTGTAAACTAAATATTTTTGTATTATTATTTTGAAACGTTTAGCGAATCAGTATTAAGCAATGTTACTCGTGTTTGGATGTCTGCTAAAACAACAATTTATCGCCATTTGACTGCGCTTAAAACACCAATGATGCTGGTGAGTTTGTTTTCAATTGTATGTATAGTGTCTGTTATGTTGAACAAGTTGAATAATGTTAATTTTTATGTTCAGTGCCTAAAAGTAGTCTTGAATGGTAGAGATAGAGATAAGGTTGAACAAATTAACGATTCACGGACGTATTTGAATTGATGACCTATGTGTTACCGGCTTACTAAGCTGTGATCCTCACAAGATGACTTGATTCACACTTTATTTCAGTTGACAACTTTTTACTATCTTTTCTTGTGAACGAAAGGTTATCAACTAAATTCTTTTTATCAGATTACTTTTTTAATATGAGTTGCCAATCAATAATGATAATCGGGCTGGAGAATCAAGGCGAAATTAAAATCTGTTTATTCTTTGAATCTCTTAGCTCAGTTTGTAGAGGAAAGGATGAATACAGGGGAGGGTATGGAAACCCAGGTTTCATTCTGATTTCATCTTCCTTGTCAGTTATAACCAGAGGCACTCGAAACACAGCTTGCAAACTAATAAAAACAAAATATACCTGTATTTTAATGATGTTGTACATGAGGTATTGGACAGATAATTATGATCACTGTATTGTTCATTTAATAATACCAATGATCATGTGAAAAACAAACTAAATTATATTGATTTTCTGAGGAGTTTATAAATGTTTCTGTTTTTTCTCGAGTAAAATATATTAACATAGATATTTTGAATTGGCTTTAATTAAAACTAACTAATAAGGGTAAAAAATGTATTCAGGTTTGTTGTTTGTTCAGAAAGCCAACCAATAAATAAATCGGATTTAGAAGTAACTGTACAGGTTAAAATCAATCAATCATTCAAACATATTCATGTCATCCAATTGAATAAGTAATTTTAAAAAACTCATTTCATATAGTGTGACAGATTCTTAGTAAATATGGATGAATTATAAATATACTATTGATAGGATAAGAATAAGATGTGAACATTTTTAACTGTTTTCATGTGTAGTCTAGATGCTAAATTGGCAAGTTGGAAAAGAGTTCAACTGGTGAAATTCTGTTGGTTTACTAGTCTGATATTGATAATAAAATTTTGATATATTCTGCACTATTACATACATAACAATGTGTCATTTATCCAATGCTAAGAAGTAACTGACAGTTAAATATGTTTTCTGTACCTTTTTAAATTTAGAAAATGGCGAAAGAATACTTCAACTGTCCAGAACTTGATGGTGTGGAACTTGATAACAACGACCAAATGTATGCTAGAGGTCATTTCGAAAAGAGGCTAATTGATGTGAGTGCTTTGTGTAGATCCTGATTTTTTAATAATCATATTATGAAAATATTTCTGATTTTTTAGCGAGTAACAGTAAAATAACATAATAGTCATATGATCACTAGTTACTAGTTTAAAGTGAGGATTTCCTGAGTAAAGCTATAACAAATGGAGTGTGAAATAGTTTCCCATCAGCTACACTGAAAAATAATCAACGATGAACTGATTGAAGTTAAAGATTTAGACTACTGAATGCCGGTTAAGTGGTCTAATGGTTAATCTCTGACTGTGGGTCCTGAGTGTCTTAAGTTTGATCTCCAACAGAGTAATGGGCATGAACTATTTCTTGATTTTCACTGACTATTTGATCAGAGCCAATCAGTGGTTTTATCTACAGAACATGAAAAATAATGGTCGTAACAACAATGTTACCTAGTGAGTCTTGAATTAAAGGAGTGCTGAACGGTAGCTTCCGTTGTTTTCCCTACTTTTTTCAGTCTATTTGATTTCTGTATAAAACGTCGTCTTGGTTATCGATGTCTAATAGTATTTTACTTTGCTATTTAATTGACGTCTTACTGATCTTCAGTAGAATAATAAGTGAACTCAGACTTGTGCTACTATACATAATAAATACACAAAGGGATCAAAATGATTACAAATATTGGTTTTGAAGAACTTATTTATTCCTTTTCAATCTACTCTTCCTTTTTACCAATACAATTACCTTGTCTTTGCTTTTATTGGTCAGAATAGTACCGGAAGCTTTTAAAAGTCAGGATATTAAACTTCTTAGTTGTTCTAGGTTTTTCTACAGTCGTCCAAACAGACGGTTGTTTTAGATCCAGTTCGTCAGCCACGAGTGACAGCACTATCCACTGTTTCCATATACACATGGGGTTTATAACAGTCATGAATTTTGACCATTCTTGTAAGATTCAAGTCTCCTAAAGAGAAGCGTGATCCACTTGAATATACATGTTATTTTTAATTGTATGCTTACACGAATAGCCTTCAAAACTTTACGAATTTCTTAAGCACTTTACATTGCACATCTATTGGACAAATCAGGCGTGTAAAATGATGAACAAATTTCTGGAATGAAAGTGCAAGAAAGTAATAAATTAATAATATAACTTTTTTATACACAGAATGAATTAATGACTCCTCTCCTTTCATCACGTTCATATATATCGAAAATCACACTCGGATTTTTCGAAGACACTGGGTAGGTCTAAATTTTTGATTTTACATTTAAATAAGATATGTTAAAGCATGTCTTTTCAGATACCTTAACATCTATAAGTCAAGTATTTCTCATAACACCAATTAAAATCTAGTTTCATATTTCAAATTTGAGAAAACAGTAATTGCCGCTTATATTTACTAGTCTGAACTATGAATTTAGGCAACTGAAATATAGATTTTAGAAGGTCATGATCTTAGTGTCATAAATACCTCGCTTTCAATCAAACAACTGAGAGTAAAGAATGAGCAACAGTCATTTCTAATCTATGAAACTAATTATAAATTCGGTTTCTTTAGTGTAGTAACGATTACCAACCATAGTTTTATAAGCCCCATGGATGATTCACTAAATACGTGAACCAATCTACAAAAGCTATTATCTCCAAATGTATTTAAGCAAGTGTTCATCGTATTGAAGTAAAGCGCCTACACCTTGGATAAGTTTGAGTTAAGTGGACTGTTTACGTACAGCTGTTCTAATCCATGAAAACGTTAACTTATGTACAAGTATGAGAGTTACTGCTAACGTTCGTTATTCGCTATACGTTACATTATTACGATTGTATCCATGTTTCTAGCCCATAATTCGATCACCATACTAGATAATCTATCCTGTACTTCAGGATTAGCTCCATGGAATTTTATTTGTTTCCAATATGTGAACTAGTCATATGGAGAAGAAATGTGAAATTTTCTTTTCAATAAAAAGTTATTAGGGATTAAATATTAGGAATATTACTGTTATGGATGTTTTGAGCCTACTCATTTCACCATGAAATGTTAATGTCACTTTAATATTTATGTTTTCAAAAATAATAATGTTTGTGTGTAAGTACTTGATTCATTTGAGGAAATAATTTTTTCTTAGTTATTCATAACTTTCTAGTAGATAAAACTGAAATTTAATGTAGGAAAATAAAAACGTGTAACATTTTCAATGCCAATTTTCTCGTTTTCATTCCATGAAGGTTGAATAACCTCAATACTCTCAGATCCTTTACATTTCTGCTGTGTTACTTTGATTTCATAATCATTTTTTTATTAACTTAGATGGTACCAAGTGAATTATGCAGGAGCTAATCCAATGGGATATGGTAAACACCTTGGTTGTGATTTCGTTATGAAAAGTTGTTATGAATATATGCTAATTCAACGACGAAAGTAATAAACTTATTTTTGAATGAAATGTTTTCTGTATGACGGTTGTATAAATTATCTAAATATGTGTTTATTTTTAACTATTTCACTAGTACACTATTCATTCAAAAGTAATGGTTTTTATCCATTACTGAGTTTTGTTAATTGTGTGAACTATATTCATTTGTGGGAGGTAAGTGCCCTAAGTAACAAAATATACGTTATAAAAATCGATATATTTACACTAGTTATCTTTCACTGTCATTCTCGAAAGTCATAAAGTTTGTTTTATATCAATGCTAAAATAACAGTACCGGGATATAATTTTTCATTTTCAGATCGAATAAGTTCGAAAATTTTTGAAGTAACACAGGCTTTCACTGAATGGTCAGTAGAAAACTTTCCTTTCATTTAAAAATTGGGCTTAACTCAAGATACTTTAATAATACAGCAAATGTTATAACAAATGCTAAATTATAGAAGGGGTTTTGTGGAGATTTAGTATTTATTATAGTTGAAAGCGTGAGTCAATTGAAGCTAGACAACCATGGAAAACCTGGAAACACTGAACAAAGACACGTGAATGCGCACTTCTGAGGAGTCCCATAATAGGACGAAACGGCCGTCCAGTGTTTCCAGGTTTTCCATGGTTGTCTAGCTTCAATTGACTCACGCTTTCAACTATAATAAATGCTAAATTGTTACAAAAACTAAACAGCATGTGAATTATTGGTGATCTACTATAACTATTTGCTTTTATGATTTCAACACATTAAAAAAGTGAAATTTTAATTTTTTTTTCTTTTAGAAGACAAAGTTTTTACCCTTACTGTGATCAAATAGGCTTCAGTAACACCCTCTGTCTGAAGCATGAAAATGCATATGGTTTCTGCGATCTGAAGCAGTATTTTCGGCCTCTGCCACTTGAATTTCAGTACTTTGATGACCCGAGACTTGGTGCAGCTGACCGTTTCCGAGATTATTGTCCAGCTTATGTGGTTAAGTGATTTATATTCTTAATTATCATTATAACAACATAACTGTTCCTAAAATTTGGGCGTAGAACTTGTAAATACTTTTATTGCAAGCTACTAATTCAGATGTAATGTCACAACTGCTGGTATCATTGCACTGTTTATTCCTCATCTTCATCAGAAAGGATCCTTGGAACCTTGTGTGGCCAGAAGGATTTTTTCCATTTTTAGTTTTTATTTACAGACCTAATAATAAAAGTACCCGGTTTGTTTCAAAACAATCATAGTCAGGAATTTGGTCGAGTTACTAAAATCATAGTGATTTAAAATACTACAAAGCAAAATGATTCTACAAAGACACTATTCTTCTCCGAACCATCCTCCATATACTGGGATTTACTAAGTTAAAATAAGTCTGCTTGGGCAAAGTATAGACAATAAATTGAGCAAAATTACTTTGTATTTACGATCTGAAATATTTAAGTATCGGGAATAAAAATTCTGTTTGTCAGTAGCTAATGTGAGTGGTTATTAGCAGAGCTTAACAAGAGATTGAATAAACTGTTACAATTAATATAATATTCAAAGAAAAGGTTTGAAGAATCAGCTCGGGTAGTCATGAGACTACTGAAAACAGCCCAAGACACATCAGGGTTTCATGAACATCCATTGTTACATTTATGACAATTGAAAATGAAAATAATAAACGAGGTTACTGTCATAAGGAAACTAATTTGTTCATATTACCTTGAAGATGGTAACAATTCCATCACAGACAATACAAGTATAAACTAAACATTAACCAAAATCTGTAATAAGGAATTTCTTCTCTGAAATTTTAGCCATTTACCGGAACGGATAATACTTATTCATACTGCAACACTCCTGAAAAACAGCACGAAGTTCGTAAGTTTTAATGAATAATTGTATTTAACATGTCAAAGAATATTACATGCTTTGTAGTTGATGAACTTATTTTTTGTGGAATTTCAGAATTTTTAATATTTTCCGGTTTTTCATTATTTCTAACACATTGACAAGTAAAGCGGTCATTATATAGACTAGCTTTGATCCACTTATTTGAGTTATAGCTAGACACTTTTTACTTGAAGATAGTTATTATTAAAAATGAAATTCAGACTGATGATTACTGAAAACTAAGGAGAATAATATATGTATTTAACTGTAGTTTAAGATGTGCCAGCACAACCCTGAACCCATAACTTATACATTTTGCATCAAGTACTAAATCCTAATTTAATTGTCTCGATTTTCAGACGAAGTTATTTTAAAGTGTAGAACTACTGTAGTCCATTGTTAATTATTAATTACTGTGTCTTTTGATGAAGATCACTCTTACAAATCGTTTCTCACTTGCACTCTAGGAAATCAATATGAAAGCTAGTTAGTAATGAGCATACGATAATTACTTTAGTTCTGTGAAGAGAATGTCATGTAAGTAAGATCTTAAAACTTCATACTTTTAAGCAAAATGTTAAATGTTGTGTATCAAATTCAATGAAATAAAAGTTAGTCAAAAATCTACAAATCATCATTAAGCCTGTGACTCTTTGAGAATAGAGAGTCATTTCATAATATGGTAAAACGAATCTCTACCATTTCAATTTAGTTTTTGTGAAAATATAAATCCTCCAATAAATTGAAAATCTAATCCATATTTTTTTTAAAATTATGCTAATATTTTTGGATTTCTTTTAAAGAACAAAATAAAAACTACATGCTTCATTACTTTGGTGCATCTTCTATGTGCATAAACCATGATAGTACCAGACATTGGGAAGTGATTCGTCAACATGAAATGTTCAATGAAAGTGCACCAAAATCTTCATGCATGAATGTAAGTATTAAATTAGATAGATAAAATATAAATACTGTAAAAGAAAATAATCTTTTTTTTTTAATTTTCCGAAAAGATTCTGAATTAATTGTTTTGTTCCTTTGATGAGTATCTAATTGGTTGATTTTGTATGAACATACATGCTTTTTTAAAAATTATGTAAATTTCGTCAGGTTTTCGTGATTATTAACAGGATAAAAACAAACAGGGATGATTGTTTTTTTATTTTCAGAAGGGGGTTTTGTGGAGATTTTAGTAATTTTATATAGTTGAGATCATGAGTCAATTGAAGCTAGACCACCATCGAAAACCTGGAGGCACTGGGACTCCTAAGCAGTGCGCATCCACGATCCCGCCTCGCGAGATTCTAACCCAGGACCTACCAGTCTCGCGCCAGAGCACTTAACCGATAAACCACTGAGCCGGCATTCAACGGTGTTAATGTCTAACTTCAATCAATCCACGAAATTGAGCAACCATTCACCAATGTCTTCAGTGAGTTGATATCTCCCAACAAACCTGGTTGAACTTCACTGGTTACTGCTTCTCACTAAACCAGACTACAGAGATTATCATTTGTAAAAAGGCATATAGTATTGTTTCCTTTCATACTGGGAAAACAAAAAAATCCAATCAAAATAGAATATAGCTATTGATTTTGCCATAAGATAGAATTTCTTCACGTCGTATAACCGCTCATTGAACTAAAGTGGAATGGTTAAATGATTTTCGCTAAACAAGTTGTTTATCTTATCATGGACGATGTATCCCTGTTGAAATTTTCTGTGGAATTTTTCAATACACCATCTTAAACACCATCCATTAGGTGATCCAACACAATTGATTTACAAGTTATTAAATCTTTGGTTAAAATCATTTTACGACAAATGTGTTATGAATCTTGTTCAATTTTAAACTGTATTACAAATTGTTTGTAACTATTCCTATAAACAAAATAATGTACATTATTCTGTATAACTGCAGTTAATAAAATTCAAGCTTTCTATCAAATGTATTAACCGGTTACTATGAGCTTCTGTTTATACTTTATGCCATCAGTCAGTCAATCAGCTACAACGTAGGACCAGACACACATATGCATCGGTCTTAGTTGCCACATCTCCTTAGCACAACAAGATGAACATAGAATTCATAGAAGTAGTGAATTTAATGGTGATAATATATAAAAGAAAGATTGTATGTAAGGATGTAATACAGGAAGGAAGACAGACTTTATATCATAAAAAGTAGTCTTTTGTATTATTTTCTAAAAATGAATGTTATACATTCTTACAAACTTATACGAATCACTAATTTATTTATACGTTAAAGGGTTTATTTACTTTTCTATTATATAGCATATATGTTCTGAGAGTGAAGGGTTGATTTTGATCTTGCAAGATAAAGAACTCGTTTGTCCTCTTAGAGGTAAATATATTGATTTCAGTCTTCGAGGAAAGTACTTCAATATTAACGGTTCAATCATTTGTCCACCATGTAGAGATATTTGTAAAGTACGTTGTTTTAAATTTTTAGTAAATAATAGCTAGTACAAATGAATATGTAATTGTACAAAAATACTATTTTAATTGCGTTTGGTACTCCATAATCTCAGTAATTCGAATCTCTTAAATTAATCTGTAAAACACGAAAATTCATGGAATTGATTGAATGAATGATAACCCTTTTCAAGCGTTATATTGATTATGCAAAATTGCTGAAGTAAGCATATTTATTTAACAAGTAGTAAATCTGTAGCCAGAGAAAAATAAAAGGCATTTTAACTGATCACTGGATATAAATATTTTTTCTATGTGAACCTAAGTTGATCCAATTTTGAAAGTTTCCGATATTTTCCAAATCTTTATGATATTATAATAATGTAATCTCGATAGTTACTGATATGTACTCAACAACTTATATTAAAAATCTATCATTCACTGCAGTGCTACATGTAAGAAGTATTACATGAACGTAAATGTTTCCATACTAAACACTTTCTTGTAGGACTCAATGGCTTATGGAGTTAAAAAATGCCAGCAATTGAACAGAACCTATAGCCGACTCTCATGTCGTATAACAAATGCTTCGAAGTTGAAAATTTGGAGCAGTGGATTTTGACCTAGTGCTTCACTGAAAATGTGCAAAATGAAAACTTACCTTTAAACAGCAATTAATTCATAAATAAAATATAGTTTATAAATTTCTTTTCGTAGTCCTACAGATAAGGAAAGAGAAATATTCACATTGTTTTCTTTTTATCTACAATGAATTGATTTGCAATACCGTATAAGATTATATTGTAGTGAACGAGAACACAAATGGGAGCAATGAATGTACCTGAACACAAAAATTACAGAATATCTTAGTAAAATCTGAGAACCATCCAGTAAATACTTAATTTTCAAAATGCTAATCAATTTTCTCAAACCTAACTGTTCCTTTTTCAAATATCAGTCAATCGTCTCAGACTTCACTGTTTTTTCATATTTTTGCTCTCGTTCTATTTTCTTCGATCTTCTTAACCTTCTGCCACCAGGTATTTCACTGTTAATTGGTGATACATACTACTTATATTTATCGACATCAGTAGCGCAAACCACAATATCACTAGATGTTTTGATAATATTTGCATTCAACTCCTTGTAAAATAGGTGAAAGTCGAACTCATAATAAACTAACACTAGACAAACATCTTCACTTTTAAAAGTAAACATGTTTTAATAAATTACTGGTATTATTAATTGTAACAGAATATTATATCACTTATTTTTTATTTATATCTAGAAATGTCCAAGCAGCTGATGTTGAACGGAGCATTCAGTGGATGATAATTGTGATAAAGTATTTCATGCTATATAAAATAAAGTATATTCTAAATAAAAATGACTTATTCATGGGTAAATTCTTAACAATTAAAGATAACTAATGGTAGAAATCAAATGAATTTCTTGATTCAACTATGGAAATGAACGTTTTCAAACTATTATCCTTCTTATCATATATTGTGTATCGTTAAAATGATTTTTCTATTAGGATATTAACCAAATGTTGATTTCCTCATTTACAGTTGCTATTAAACCTAATGCGAACCTAATCTATATCCTCTCTATAAGTTGATATATTTCACAGGGAAAGCTATATTGTATTTTTTAAAATTAACTTTAGAATAATTGTTTGAATACATGACAAGTAATCTAATATCCACTGTTTACCTTTCTTATGGTTGCCACTGAGGCATTCAGTGTCAGACACTGGTAATATTGTACATAGCAACTTATCATCTGATTATATCATCGTCTTATTCAAATATTTGGAATATTTACCACATAAAACAGCTGAAGGTTACCATTCGCAGAATACGTTGAGACTCATATTCAAGTACATCCTATAACCTAAGTTATCCATAAGAAACCAAGTTCAAGATGTGAAGAATTAATAAATCAGTCTTTTAAAATTTAGGCGCTTGATATAGGATGGGTGTCATAGATTTTCAAAGTTTTTATTCAATCAGACTATTGAAGCGAGATCATAATGTTATTTTTAATTCAGATCAACATATCCTTACATTGTATTCTCTTGATTTTAAATTAGTTCTATTTTAAGATCGAGGTAGAAGTCAGGGATTTCGTTAGGAAACTCTCATGGCTAAAATATTGAATTCAGGATCAAATTTATCAGTTTTATTTAAAATATCTAGCTTGAAACTAATCATCTATGGAGGATATACTATGCGAAACTCTTTTTAATAAACAGCTAAAAGATAGCTTCTACAGAACTGTGAAGTACATGTTTTCACAAGGCGGCCTGCTTGAATATCTGGGCAGCCTGTTCCTACCATCTGGATATTTCAACAAGTTATCTAATTTCTTGTTTGTTTTCACACATCATCATGCCTAATGGTTTCATAACGTATTCAGGTGCGTTTGTGAATAGTTTACGACATTCTGCCGTACGAGTTACAAAAGAGCTCAATCAGAGACATCATGGTTGCTGGCAATATGCGTCGAAAAGAATATAATTTTTTCATATGTCGATTGCTGAACTGCTAACATCTAACTGGCGACCACTCAATATTTATCGCAGGGATCGATCAGGAAATAAGAAAGGGAAACTTGTTGAAATATTTTGTTCTGAGAATTCTATATTGTACGAAAAATATAATACTGGATAAAGTCACTAACAATAGTGATAATAATATTAGTAGTATTAGTAATGGTAATATATCGAGTTTATATTTCAGTACTACAAAGCAGTATGTATGAATCCGAAGTAGTTGATGTTGCAAATCAATACTTCACAAAGCTGATTCGAGAAACTAAATGTTTATTGAATAGTGATCTCATATCATATCTTTTCTTCTGCTTAAGGTGTCAAAAAAGAATAGAACAGGATATAATGGAATATGGACATTATGACAACTCGAGTTTTGAAGTCCTCGGTATCTAAATAATTAGAAACGGCGAGTCACAATGGATACTTATTGTAATGACTTATAGGTTAGTATTTATCTTAATTATAAAAACATTTATCTGGTGAGAGTTAGTGTGAATCCCTGTAAACTTTGCACTATTTCGAGGCCCAATGAAACAGGAGTTTTTCAAAAATATATACAGGAATATGGAAATATACAAAAGAATATAAAGTCATAAAGTGAGATTTCCAAACATGATGTACTAGACAAAAATATGCCTTAAGCAACTCATTTCAAGATGTGACTAAGTTGCTGGATTGTTTAAACATAGAATAAAAGCTAAATTACATATCACTTATCCAGCTACCAGCCTTGTAGTTTTCAACATTATTAAGTAAGTGTAAAATGTACTACTAGTTTTTTGCACTTTTGATGTAATACTGTTAAACATTCGTGAAGCTTTGATAGACTAATTATTTTCTGGATTGATGGATATGTCGAAATTAACGCCAGAGCTGGAGATAAAGCAATGAGAATACAAAATTATTAGAACTGTGTGGCATGTAAGCGCAGTAAATTTTGAGAGGTTTGACCATATATTTACTTTTCAAGGGTATTTGTGAATGAAAATAAAGGATAATCATAAAAATCAAAAGATGAGAACATAACTAAAGATAGTAAGGAAAACAGTGTGAATCACACCATCAGTCAATAATACCAAAATAGTCTTAGAGAAAGTATAAATTGCTGTCTGGCACACAATGGTTTGTGAATTTCTGTACGACTAAAGCTTCGACAAACCTAATAACAACGACTCCCTCTCATCACAAGAACCAATAACTATTGGAATTTACAAGGGAAGTGTATTAGGTTCACTCTTGTTTCCCATGCACATAAACGATATATGTAATCTGAAGCTCTAAGTGAGAGAGTATTGCAGATCCATAGTGACCTCAATAACCTGGAGCGCAAAATGGCAAGTTGACATTTACGACAACAAGTATGGGATCATGCATTTTGGAAAAAATCCTTAGGAACTACGACTTTACTTTAATGAAAGTAGTGTTCAAACACTTAAAACAGTAAACGATGTAGGTGTTATTTACGTCTGAAGCCTAAAATTTGAAGACCATGCCTCCTTTAATATTCTCAAGTCTAGACGGCAGATCGATTTCATAATGAAAAGTTTCTTCCCAACGCAGACCAAGTTTACCCTTTACAAAATTTGTATACGACCCTCCCCTGAATATTGCTCTTTTACCTTCTCAAACGTGAACACAACAGATAAGATGTGAGTAGATGCCCAAAGAAGCTTCACACTCCAACTGCTAAGATGTGACTCCACTGTAGACTACACAGATAGATTTAAGTACCTCTCCTTGAGACCTTTATGATACCGTCGGCTTAGGAACAATCTAATATTTCTCTAAAGAGCAATACGTGAACACTATTTCTAACCCTCTGCCCAACCATGATCCATGACGCAGTCTACAGACTCAGAAACAAAGCGTATATAATACTGACTGTTAAACACCATAAACCAATGTGTTGTAGGTATTTTACAGTTCAGTGTAATATTTCGTGAAACTGGCTGTCAATACCTTTCCGTATCTGTGGCACTATCACCAAGTTCAAAAGACTAATGACTCTGTTTTGAAACTTTAAAGAGCATCATCAACTATTTCATGGCCTCACACGCAACAAGGTATTTTAATATGGACCTCCTAATGTCTAGACTGGTCATAAACATAACGGGCTCCCATTGTCATTAGTATGTGTGCAACCAAATGATAATACATATGGTTTACCTTCTACCATTATTCATTCATTATTAATCATGCTTTTATGCTCCTACCATAAAATTGCAAACCTCTCTGATGTTTAAAGTCGCATTATCTTTCTTACGAGTTGCCACATCTATGGATGGCGGTCAACTATAGCCAGTCATAGAAGGCTCATAATGCCCTAACTTGTTGACTCTCTGTGATGTTTAAATAAATCAATGACTTCTTGGTATTGATGACTGTTGTGATTTTGAATTCCAAATACAATACATTCGTTTGTGCTCCTCTAATACTTCTTGATTAAATTGCGTTATTCCTGAAATTACTAGTTTATACTACAATTCAAATACTTCTGATTATCATATTGGGGTCGCGATGGAGTCTGCGATACAACAGTTGGACATTCATTCAACTTCAGAAGCTTTTGAGGATTATCTTGAAAGGTTTGAGATATGGAGCATTACCAAAAAAGATATGAAGGGTGACAAAATTGTGACACATTTTCTCACATTCATCGGTCAAGAAGCCTACAGTTTACTAAAAACCTTGGCATACCCAGATAAGCCGATCTCACTTCCATATTCAACTCTCAAGGAATTACTAATAAATCATGTGAAGTGCATCAGTTTTGAATGTTAAGAGAGAGCAAAATTTCATAAGATGATTCGTCAGGATAAAAAGAAGGTTAAGGACTTCATCCTTGAATTGCAAAGACAAGCAGCCAAAAATGCAATTTTGGTTATCAACTTCATGTACAGCTGAGAGATCGTTTAATTGCAGGAATTAACATACCAGGTCTGGAAAAGGAGATGTTAAGAATGCCGAACTGTACTTTTCAAGATGCTAGAACTGCATGTATTAACTACGAAGCAATGAATGAACTTGATATTCAATCGATGAAAATTTCTAATACTTTGCTTAGTCGTCATGATGAAATACAATCTCAGGGTCGACCAAATTTGCGTTCGTTTAATCGTGATTTCTATTCTCGTGGAAATATGAAAGGTGATTCAACAAGGGACTGCAAAGCAAACAACAAAGGTGAGAATAAGTTTGGCAAATGCTTATCTTGTGGCAAATTTCATTCTCGTAATTCATGTTTATTTCGTAATGCTAAATGTTTTAAATGTGGCAAGATAGGACACATTCAGTCAGTGTGCAAAACTACTGTTCACTTTGCCTAAAGTATTACTAAGTCTTGTAACTTAGATCACAATAATTCGATTATTCCTAATGATCATTTATCCTTATCCACCACTTCGAAAGTTAATTTTCATATCCAAAAGCGATTATATACATCTGTTGGTTCATTTCATGACTTTATTGTGGACACAGGTAGTATAGAACCCATTATTTCATTCAAGAACTTGAAATCTTTAGATCCTAATGTTGTGGTAAAACCCACTGAGGTCTCAATACTGGGGATTACTGGACACAGACTACCTATACGAGGATGTTGTGAATTGCTAATAAGAAATGATAATTCTTCATATATACCTTGTGAATTTTTAGTTAGTGAAACAGGACTGTCAATACTGGGTTTAAAAAATCTGAAAAGGCTTAAAGTAGAATTGTCTCTACTAGTTTCTGCAGAGAATTCGGATGCTTTACTCAAGGATTTGATAGCTGTGTGTGCTAAGTGTAGTGGAGGTATGAGAATTCAGACCATAAGACTTCAAGTACAGGGTGATCCAGTCTTTCTTAAAAGACGAATAATTCCTTATGGTCTTCAAGAAGCAGTACATAAGTCACTGAACGATTTGTGTGCGAAAGGTATAATAGAACCAGTTCAGTCCTCAGCATGAGGTACTCATATTGTTACGCCATTGAAGTCGGATGGCAAGACCCTTAGAATATGTGGTGATTACAGATTAACACTGAACTCACGTTTGTTG